TGTACAGCAGAAATTCACACTGTAAATCAACTATACTTCAATAAAATAAATTTTAAAGAAGACTGGAGTAGGAAAGTATGCTCTATTTGGTGACAAGGAAATTATTCCTTCAGAGTGGAAAATAAATGTAAAATTAAGAAGAGAAGTTTGAGATCCTATGTACCTAGCCTATCCATATTTTTTTCTTTCATTATAGACTAATTGTCTATAATGTACCAATCACAGCTAAACATGGGAAATATAGTAGATAAGAACCTGTTCTTCTCCTTGAGGAATCTGGGGGAGGTGAGATGGGGGAAGAGACCTGTAAATAAACAATTACAATTCAATGCAACATACTTTAATAAAAGCGTATCTATTGTGCCTTAAGAAACCAAAACCATGAATAACTTGGCTCTGGACAGGTCAAAGTGGTGATCTCTGAGGAATAATTATTACACATGACATTGGAACTAGTTCCAGGATGAATGGGGATTTACTATCCAAAGAAGTGGCTGTGTAGCAAAGGGAGGGTATTCCAGATAAAGTGAACAATGTGCTCAAAGAAAGAAGCATTCGAAAAAAAACTTGGAGGAATGGCTAGATTACAATGTACATACAGTGCACATATCATGGTAGGATCAATCAGGTGGAGGTCAGTTCATGTTCAGCCTTGAATGGCACGCCTTGGAGTTTGAACTTTATAGACAGGAGGGAGCTAACTAGATGGCTTTGAGTAGATATATGACATATGATTTTTTTTTTGGAGACACATATTCTAGACAAAAAGGAAAAACAGAAGAGACACTAGAGGCAAGGCGATTAGTAAGGAAGCTATTAATTGCTTAGGTAGGACAATGAGGATATAAACAAAATCAGCAATACCAAACAGTATGAGAAGATACTTGAGGTATTCAAAGATATAAGAAGTTGAGATATAAGGTTCCACCATTCCCCAGTACCACTTTGGGTGATAAGAAAATGATCAAGGATGACTGAGATTTTAAGCTAACATGACTGAGTAGATGGTGCAGGTATGAATTCAAGTTGAGGACAGGCAGACGAGGGACAAGCTAGGAGGGAAGGGTAAAGACCATGAATTAAGTTCTGATCCAATGAGTGTGGAAGGTAAAAAGGACTGGAGGCCTAGACAGGTGGCTGCACAGCAGTATAAGCTATGTGAGTGGATATAATGACCTAAAAAGGATATGGAAAGATGGTAAATAGTGGTAGGGTGGTGGTAAAAAGAGATGAGGACAGTGTAGCAGTTGAGAGAAGGGTCTGGAGTCAAATTAGTCATTTAAACAAATTATTTAATTTTCTAAACTTCAGTTTTCTCTCTAAAATAAAGTTTATAATAGCACTGACTTTAGATGCTTTATGACATAATTCATATAAAGCCATTAACCATCCCTAGCACACAGGAAGAGCTCAATGTCTGAATGCTTACTGCAGGCTGTTGATGGGAGTGGGAGGAACGGTAGAAACAAAAATGAAAAAATTTGTCTTTTGTCTGATGCAAGACTTGTGTGGTTGACTGACAGATAAATTTTCAAACACAGATTTCTGAATGTAAACCAGCATGAGAAAAAGGTGAGAGGGAGCTCCCAAACAAGGTGTTTTTCAGCAGATACAAACTAGTAATGCTCTCTCTCACTCAAGTGACTGACCACGTGCTAGCAGAGTGCTTAATTTGGATTGAGAATGTTCAAGTGGAGATGCCAAATGACATTATATGTCATGTAGTTGGAAACTACAGCAGATTCTACTCTGTTTTGCTATCTGGCATCTGCTAATAGAAAAATGTTGCAACATGTTCAGTTTGGCTAATTAACCCAGACTCATGTGAATAATATGTGCAGAGTCTAGCTTCTGGAACATGCCTAGGTCTAAGAACAGAACTACTCTTCATGAGTGAACTTGGATGATGCCATTGGTTCTGTTACTCTCCAGAAGCAGACACTACTGTTAAGTAGAAAATGATATGTCCTTCTCATGCAAAATGCCTTTTACTAATAATTTTTGTTTTTCAAAATCCAGTACTAAAAGTGGTCCTAAAAACATTAGCTATTAACTCTTTAAAAAGGATTAAGCCTTTTTTAAAAAAAGATATCTTTTATATTCTCAGCATCAGAGATATGTAGCTACTTCAACAGTATGCAAAGAAAGGGAAATAAAGAATTGTTTGATACTTTACTCAGTGTTTCTGAAAGCCTGACCCTTGGATCACCTTATCAAAATCCCCTGGATGATTATTAACAATACAGATTTTTCTGGAGCCTTCATCAGAGTCACTGAATTAGAATCTCTAATTTTTAAGTTGCCCACATTAAAGCTGGAGAACCATTGTCTTAGATTCATTCATTCAATAAAGAAATATTTAATGCCAACAATATACTCAGATTGGACTGCTTTAGAAGTTATCAATAATAACTGCCATACACTGACTATATACCATGTGCTACACAATATGCCAATGCATTTTATGTGTTTGACTCATTATGTTCAACAATCCTGAGGTTTTACACTTCTATATAATAGATGATAAACAGAATGAGTAAACTGTTCAAAGTCATCAGCTAATGAATATCCCTGTTCCTGAAACCCAAGTCTGATTCTAAAATCTTTGGTCTTAATTGGTATATTATTTAGCTTTACTTTAATCTAGAATAAACTTAAAACTGTTTCATAGTCCCACATGAGCAAATTTTCTCCTACACAAAATAAGTGATTGATGAAGTGCATTACTTAACTTCCAATGCAAAGACTAAAAATATTCTATCAATCTAAGAGTGTCTGCCCTCTCAGTGAATTTTCTTCCTTCTGTTTATCTTTCATGATCAACTATAAGTCTAGGATAGGAGGAGTACATAAGCTTGGCCATCTTGGGAGTTTTCCTCTTGTGATCATGAAGTAAATTCTACAAACATCTGTATATCCACTGAACATAGAATGTTCTTCATGTACTAAGTGCTAAGTATAATCTTGATTTTGCAATTTTTAATAGGCTCTGATGAATGCTACCAACAAGCTATCACAGAAACACCAGGACCAATTAAGACTTGCAGAATTTCTGGGAGAAAAATAACACTGCCGAAATTGGAATGTAGCCACATGGCCAGTACTTGCCTCAGTATCTGCTTTGATAACATCAAGATTCATCTGTATTTGAACTGCAGGGCCCAAACACCTTTCATCAACAGTCCTTGGGGTGCCAGGAGATGAAACTCATGAAACTATGCTGACATCAGTACACTCTGCTCTAGATGACATTGCATCAGCTCCAAGTGAAGAAAAAGTAGCAGCCACAATTTATTAAAAGGTAGTCTATGTTGCTAGTGCAGGGTACTAATACACTCTACATTGGATGGCATCACTGACTCAATGGACATGAGTTTGAGCAAGCTCCAGGAGTTGGTGATGGACAGGGAAGCCTGGGGTGCTGCAGTCCACAGGGTTGCAGAGTTGTACACAACTGAGCAACTGAACTGAACTGAGACAGTCTATGTTGCCAGTGCTGGGTACTAATAGTCTACACAGACAGGAGGATTAAATGCTAAACTCTTCTTTGTAGGACATGATAGAAAGTGGTATGCTGAGAACTGCGATGGATTTAACGAGCAGTTCATGGTATGGGTAAGAGTAGCTGCATTTGGGAAGATTTAATCATGACTGGAAAAGGATGAAAACTTTTAGTTTTCTTACTTTGAAGTAGCCCTGCAAAAAAATGTTAAATTGAATGTAATCACGCCTCCAGACCAACTTCTGATGTATGGGAAATAAGAAAAAGGAGACAGTCAAAAAGACCCTTGGCCTGAACTTTTCAAAATGACAATGTCACATGACAAGAAAAAATGGGGGACTGTTCTAGATTAAGGCTAAATAGTTATAATACCAAAATATAGTACATAATCCATGACTGGATCTTGAGTTTTGTTTTTTTGCGAGGAGGAGAAGGTACAGAAGACATTTTTGGGTCAAATGGGAAAACATATGTACATACAGACTGGATTCTAAAGACTACAGAATTATTAATTTCCTTAAATGTGATAATGATATTATGTTTTCCAGGAGAACTTTAGAATTCTTAGGAAATACATGTTGGGAATTTTAGAGATGTCTGCTTAACAACAGGCATCTGCAACCGATTTCCAAATGTCTCAATGACAAAGTGTGCGAGAAGAAATGAAATAAATATGGCACAGTGTTAACAACTGTTGGATCTAGGTGATAGGTATATGAATGTTTGTGGCATTCTTTAAACTTTTAATGTATGAATATTTCTTTGATAAAATATTGGGGGAAGAAATCATGTTGAGTAGCAGGAACTATGCTGAAATTTTGATAAACCGAAATTTCCTAAAACCGAAGTCGCTGGCAAGCATACTGGGCATCCAGGAGACACCCGATATTCAATCTTTCAGTATTTATCAAAATAATATCATGTGCAGGGTAAAATAATAGGCTGATAAATCTGATACAAACCACTCTATTTGGGAGTAAATTGGGCTTTCCAGGTGGCACTGGTGGTCAAGAACCCGCCTGCCAATGCAGGAGATCTGAGTCTGATCCCTAGGTTGGGAAGATCCCCTGGAGGACGGCATGGCAACCCACTCCAGTATTTTTGCCTGGACAGAAGAGCCTGGTCAGCTATAGACCATACAGTTACAAAGAGTTGGACACAACTGAAGCAACTTAGCACGCACGCAAGGCAGAGAAGCTAAGAAAACAAGCAGCTGTTATATAAAACAATGGTTGTCATAAAAGAGGTTCAGAAAAATGCTAGGTAAGCTCAGAGGAAATTACTTCCTGCTGGGGAAAATCTGGACACACATTTCCAAGGTTACTAGGACATGGATACAGAATCACAAAAGGTTGGTGCTTCAGTGATTAATCTTGTTAGAAACAAGAATAGTCGATTTTGGCTGGAGAATAAGTACTAAGAATATAAAAAGAAATTCAGCAAAGAATGTAGGTGTGCGCTCTTGTTGACTAGCGAATATAAACAATTTTCAGTTTACCTGAAAGTTCTCCTGATCCTTTTTCCCCGCAGTTTTAGGTATCCAACCCGGTATTACGAAGATGACTGACAGGTGTTGACTCAAACCTACCGAAGGAACTATATGAGATAAAAGTGAGACACTTCTGGTAAACAGTCATGTAAAACCAACACGATACGAATATTCACAAACATTAAATTGTTTAATATACCGTAGACTTGCAGGATGAGGACAGTATACCTTCTTTCAGAATGGCAGTCAGTGCTTACAAACTCTCACCAGAGAAACAAAGGGAGAAAATTCAAAATATGAAGACAGGAAGTGGGGAAATAAGACTTAAGGTGTTGCCGCGGTGGTGGGTAACCATCTTTTTCCTTTGTAGCTGGGAACGTAAAACGATTTCCTCAAGCTCCAGAATTCTCCGTCCTCAAAGGTCAGGGGGTGAAAGTACTTAACAGAATTTGCGGGGGCGTGGTCAGGAGCTCCACTTTGTCAGAGTTAGGGGCTCCGCCCGGCGGCCCGCACCCAGGCCCCTCCCGTCTCGACTTGCTGCAGCTAGGCGAGCGGAGCCGGTTGAGCGGCCTCGCCCCAGAGGGAGCCTCAAAGGGGCGGAGGGAGGGCGGGCCGTCGCCTGGTCTGCCCGGAAAGAAAACCTTCTTCCAGCGGAAGCGACTCTGAGCCTTGCTCTCCTCCGGGACTCTCGGTCTCCGAGGGCCCTGGGGCCCGCTCGGATCTGACCCCCGGTTCGGAACCAAGGGGCACTCACCTCACTTCTCGACTCCTGTCAACATGGGTACTCCCTGGGGCAAGGGGGACGCAAGCTATTCCTATCTTTCTGCCTTGACCCCATTCAGAAGTGTCAAATGCAACTTCCGGGCAAGACAGGGATTTTCGGAGCCCTAAACTCCTGTCCACCTAGGTAAGTGACCAGACGTCCCAGCAAAATAAGGGCCGGGAAACCTACTCTCTCTAATCCCGCAACCGGGAAGGTAGTCCGGAATAGGAATTAACTAGTTTTACATGGGATGTCTGGTCACCTTTGGTCCTTTTTTGGGCCTACTTACGGATGCTTCTCTTCCCTGATGGCTCAATTGTTGCCCAGGGCAACTGTGGGTCTGGGCGAAGGGAAAACTACGTCACACAGGAGACGGGAGGCCAGGAAACTCCCGTTGCCATTATCAGTTATGGCTGCCCTAGCGTCAACAGGAACTTCCGCTTGAGAGTTGTCACTCTACCCTGCTGGAGGCTCTCTCTGTGGCCCAGCTAGCCAGCGGCGCCCAGTGGGCGGGAGAGAGGGCGTCCTGGAGCAGAGGGAAGGAAAAGGGCGCAGAGAGGGAAGCTGGCGCTAATACGTCACTCTGATTGGGTAGCGTCGCTGGCGACAGTGCGTCTTTCTGATTGGGCAGCGTTGGCTGCCCTGGCCCCGCCTGTTTCTCTTCCCTGGCGACTGACGGGCCTGCACTCGAGAGGTGGGGCGGGGCGGTAGGAGCGAGAGTGTGTGGAAGTTGGCTGGTTCTTCTTGCCTTCCTTCCTGTCCGTCGGGCGGTCGGTCGGTAGGGGGAGGCCCCGCGCGTCCTGACAGGCGCGAGCCGGCGGGGCAGCGTCGCTTCCAAAGAGGAGGAGGAAGGAGGGCGAGCGAGGAGGATGGCGAAGTCCGGGCTCCTGACGGTAACCAGGGGCCGCCGAGGCGGGAGGGTGCCTGTTGGCTGGTTCTTCTTGCCTTCTTTCCTGTCCGTCGGGCGGTCGGTCGGTAGGGGGAGGCCCCGCGCGTCCTGACAGGCGCGAGCCGGCGGGGCCGGGGCGAGGCCCGAGGGGCCGGGGCCCTAGGAGGCGCCGCCGCCGCCGCCGTTTTCCTGGGTGCTGTCGCCGGGAGGCCCGGGCCCTGGGAGCTGAGTCCCCTGCGGGGCCCGCAGCCGAGCACCGAGAGCGAGCCGGCCGGCTGACAGTGTCCGGGGGCCGGGCCTGCGGTGGCGGCGGGCGGCCGGTCGGCCGGGACAGCGCCCGGGCGAGGACTAACCGGCGCAAGAGCCGGGGCCGGGGGCGCCCGGAGGATAGTCTCGCTCCACTAGGCTCCTGGGGTCACCGGGCCCAGGCTGCGGGGCGCCCCGTGGGCGTGCGAGTCGTTGGCGGGGGCCTTGGCGCAGCGGTAGTGATACGGGGTGGAGTCTTTCTTCGCCCCTTCCCCAAAGCCCACCGCGCTCACCGGCTCCTCTCGGTTCCTTGAAGAGTGGTGAGTCGGCTTTGGGTGTGTTGCTTGGTGAAGCGACTTGTAGGCATCCAAATAGTGCTCTGTTGGACATGCCTAATGGCAACCTTTTTCCGCGGAGGCTTTTAGGGGTAGAGGAAAAGTACTCTTCTCCCCGCTTCCCCCCCCCCCCCCCCAGTGCTAGAGGCTTCGGGACAAAACGATTTTCCTCCAGCCCCTCAGTATCCATTGTTTTGTACCACCTCCCTCCCCTCCTTTCCTAGGTAGAAGAAGAATGACTCCAAGCCATTAATTGCCTTCTTTTTTTTTTTCCCTCAAAAATCAGCAGAGGGTTTGTGTAATCGTGTTAGTGTGGATCTACAAACAGGTGGAATGAATACCGTTTCAATAGTTGGAAAGAAGATGCTTTTGTGTGTGTGTTTAAGCTTTCAGCACTTTGAGTTGGTGATTTGATTTTTCTTGTCTGTTGCTTTGTATCATAATGGGGGTGATGAGAATAAAAGAGGAAGCAATGTTTTGCAATCTACCCAAAAAATGTTTTCTAAGTCTCTAGGGATGCTGAAGCAAAATTGGGTTGCAGATGTGGACTGTAGAGTATTTGCCTCCCTCATGATAAGTACCACCAGTCTATATCTAAGCTTACACCTGTGCAGTATTGTACACTTCTTCGTAAATGTCAGCACTTTCTTGTTACTCAGTACGCAAGAGTAATGGATAGTTGTATCTAAAACTATTTTTTGTTAAGTTTTTCAGAATCTTAGAGTACACTTGTATCACCGAGTATTTTTGACAGCATCAGTCCTGAAAGATTGTCTTAATGACCTCGGTTTATTAGTTGCTAATCTCTACCCTCACCTTTACATGCTGTAGCCCTTGTAATTGTTTGTTACTATGTATTTGAGGAGATTTAGCTATTGTGTACAATTTGTGACATTCAGCAAGCTTACAGTTCATAGTTTGAATTTGTTAAGTGTTTATGTTTTTTGTGTGACAGTGACAAGAATTATTAGGAATAATTATGTAAATGACCGTTCCCTAACTGCAAAAGGATCTTAGACTGAATATGATAAATCTTTTAAATACTAATTTGGACCTTAGGTACATTGTAAAAGTTTTATTTAATTATGCATATGCATTTAAAATAGACCACAGAAAAATAAAGGCTTTGTCTAATGGTTTAAATGTAACATAAAGCTGACATATAAAACTGTATTCTTGAAATGCCAGTTTGGAAATAACGGACATGGCCTATCTCTAAGGTTACTACTTTTTCCCAGCGTTTGTTCAGTTTTTGAAAAACACATTGATCATAGGTTGGCATTTGTTTTCTGATTTCTGATTGTTAATACAATTTTTCAACTGTTTAAGATTTTCTCTTTTATTTGTTACGAATGGTAATGGATTAAAGAGTGATGTTAAGAAATACATTAATAACTTGCAGCTGAGGTTTTTTTTTTTCAAGTTTTGAAGCTACCATATGCAGAAAGTTGATCAGAACTGTTTTGGTAACGGTAACAAGTAAGACACAGCAACTTGTGAACTAGAAACCAGTCAGAAATTTGAAACATTTCACTTTTCAAAAGGAACACTAAAATCATAAATTCTTTTGTTATGCTTGCTGAAATTATACTTTTTGAATTTTTTTTGTTTCTTCAGTGACTTGGGAGAGGGCTTCTCTCATATTCAAGAGAGATAATAAACTGGAATTCTAGGTGGAATGTTCCCAAAGATGGCTTCTGAATAACTGCTGATATATTTTTTTTTGCCTTGCTTTACCTGTATGGATTTTGAGGGCAAGCGTGAAAATTGAAATTCCTTGTTATCCAGGCAGTTAAATTGCAGTCATATTTGTTTTAAAAATATGCTGGATTATCAATATTTGTTGTGTAATTTAGTATTTCTGTAAGACTTGTATTTAAACAGTTTAAATGGTTTTTAGAGTTTAAATATCATATGAGAAAAGGATACCAAAATCTGTTGTGGTATTTTATTTTAACTGAAAAATATACACTAACCTGGGCATGCAGATATAAGGATGAATTTCTTTGGAGGTTGAAGATTAAATGAAAGACTGTGTCTTCATATGATTCAGTTCACTATATCGTTCGTGTATTTTCCATGAATGAAAAAGCATAGAATATATGCTTATGGTAATTTAAAAAAATTCACAAGACCAAAACACTCACAAAACAATAAAATAACAACAACAGAAAAACAAGCTGACTCCCAAGTCCTTCAGTGAGTTCTGAGGTCTATAACTTGGGCTTAGTGGAGGTGTTCTTTAACTGGATTATAAGATATCAATTAGAGGAAACTTAGATATAAAACTTTGACATTTCCTAATAAGACCCGTGGAAAATTAGTAAATACTATGTTATAGATGGATTAGAAATGGGCTGTAATTTAGCAGCAGAATGATAAAGTACTTCTATGTGATACTTGAAAAAGGAGTACTGCAAATAAATTTGTTGCTATTTTTGCTTATTATTTGACTTATATTTCCTGTATTACGTATTTCACATTAAGCATTAGGCATATTATAATTGAAGGCTAAATCTTTTACGGACTAAAGAATATATAGGTCAGGTTTGCTATTCCTGTCATCTGAATTTTACGTTGTATCAAAGTTGTGTACTGTGTGTCTTTCTGGAAATTTTTTTTTAACACAGTAGTTAAATTTTGTATTTTACTCACTACCCACTCTGACTTTTAAAATATGAAAAATTTCTGTCGCAAGTTGACCTGTGGTGTGCTTCAAGTATCGGAGTGCTCTGAAATGCAGTGTCAACCAGCACAGGGAGAGAAGAGCATGAGTGAGTCTAAGAAACTGATTTATGTTCTGAAACATGTAGTTGCATTATTTTAACATAATGTTTCTTCTGTCTTTGGCATTTCCTCCTGGTTCCCAATTCTTTAGCACATCATCTTTAACTCAGCAAATCAAAGTTCTAATGTATGAAAAGCATATTCTAATTGCAGAGGGCTCTTCAGCTTTTGAGATGTTGGTAACATATGTGCTTTTTGAGAAAATATGATGTTCCCATTATCAAGAATTAAAGAACTAATTAGATTATTTCACACTATGTATCTCATTCTAACTTTTGTAAAGATCATACTTGGTCACAGAAAGTTTCACGCTAGAAAAAGTTAAAGTTTCTTCTACTGGAAATAATAAACATACTGCTTGAAGCTAAAACATTACGGGTGACCTTGAAAGAGGGTATGATTTGTCCCTATGTGAAATGAACCTGAAAGACTACTATGAAGTATTTTGGAATGTCTGTCTTATAATGTTCATAGCACTGTGAACACATAATTTAAGCATCTTATCTGCCCTCAGACAGTTTTTAAATCCTGCAAGTTTCGTTATTTCACCATTGACAGATAAATCTTCTTTCTTTTAGTTTTTCTAATGCCTTGTAGGTAAAGTAGAAATGATGTGCTCTGACATGGGTAATGCCTAGAATTTGGAGTTAATTTCATCAGTTAAATTTGTGCCTAGAATTTGGAGTTAATTTCATCAGTTAAATTTGGGCTTTCTCTGTTTCCAGTTTTGTGTTGTACAGCACTGCCTTCAGGACTTTCACAATTTTGCAGATAGTTTTTAAGTTAACCTTTAAATTTTGTTATGTAAGTGTTTCTTACTAACTAGTTTTATACTCACTAATGTCATAGACCTTGTACTGAGTGCTGTGTGTGTCCCAGTCAGTGAAGGTACAGAGATAAATATACAGTTTCCTACTTTCAGTAAGTTCATGGTTTGTTGCATGAAGGGGACAAACAGTAGTTAATTGTTTTGCAGTGTGACAAGTGCTTTGGTGGCAGTATACACTGAAGAACTCAGATGAATTAATTCAGACTGCATGTATAATCAGCCATGCTTACTGAAGGATATAACCTGAGCTAACTCTTGAGGAATAAGTTGGATGGAGGGTAGAAAAAGCATAGAAGTTAGAGATGTTAAGGTCCATTTGGAGAATTGCAGGGAATAACAATTTGGAGTCCGTCTATGACCTAATGTTAATATTTTAAGTCATACAGTAGGCTTTCGTTAAAGTTATTATTTTTAGAGATTGTATGCCTTTTGTGCCTCATTTAATTTGGGGCTTGAAC